ATATATTTTATTGCTATTATTATCAATACTCTTATTATATACTTTTACTATATATTTGTTATACAACAGATAAATTAATATTTGTTAATTTCTAAATAAAATAAAGTTCAAACTTTTGTAGCTCTGATTCGAAGCTGTATTTCGATTTGAAAATTTCAAAACATATTAAATTTTAATTGAGCAAAATAGAAATAAATTATAATAATTAATACCGAAAAATATTTTTTGTACATAAAAAAATAATCGTTATTTTTCCCTTTTTACTGTCAAGTCTTTTTCTACGGTTTATTACTATGTTATTTAGTTCCTCAATTAGTCCGGTTTCAAACATTATTAGCGTAAACGATTAGCCGCACTATGCGAGGTATTCCTGTATTCATTTCAAAGAAAATGTGTATTGTCTACTATATTTTCTAACAAAACTTGATCCATAGTTGATTCAACATCTTTCCATCTTCAATCAACATCCATTTTTATTGATAATCATACTTTATTTAATACATCAATACCTCACATAGTACGGCTTCGATTAGAACAAATTTAATATTAATTTTCTTCGTGTTTATAAACAAATCTAATTTTGTGCGGTTTAGTTCTAGTTTATTTAGTTCCTCAATTAGTCCGATTTTAACAGTCAGTTCAAACTATTCGATTTTAAACAAAGTATCCACATTAATTGAATTTTCTATGACAGTTTCTAAATAAACTTTATAATTGATTGAATAATTCAACTTCTTCGATTAGTACGGATTCAATTTTAATTGAGCAAAATAAAAATAAATTCTAAAAAGTATAGTAGACAAAATCAACGTCAACGTCAAGTCAAATCGATTTTAAAGTTCTCGATTAGTCCTGTTTCATAAAGTGCTACACATTACCAGCACTATGCGAAGTATTTTTATAGTTTAATGTTATATTTGTATTAATATCATTATAGAAGTTTGTATTAATTGGTTTGAATATTTATTTAAATTATTAAGAAAATTTAATTAAAATTTGATAAAATTAATCACCAAATATAGTTTTGTAATTTAAATTAAGTTTAATCGATCAAACTGTTATTATTATATTAGTAGCAAAAAAAAACGTATTTACATTACTAAGTTCACTGATCTAAATAATCACTGTAATGTAACAAATGATTTATCAAAATTTGTGCAGAAATGCATAAAATATTAGACTTTAGAGTTAATCTATAAATTTAATTATATTTTAACATATAATCAAATAAATAATTAAATTGCATTTAGATTGTAATTTTCTTTTTTTTTTGTTGTTGTTATGTTTTATATAAAATATAATACTTGTCCAGTATAAAATATATACGTCCTGTCTGCAGTCCGTGTGCGGTGAACATAAATGAAAAAGAACACAGCTAGAAAATACACATATGGAAAGTAAACGAGCCTATTAAGCAAGGGGTTGATGTATTGGGGCCGCGGACTTTATGCGAGGCATACGTAATTTCGAAGGCTATGTCACAATCCACGAACATGGCGCATTTTGCAACGCATTATGCAGTGCACCGCACTCTCCCTCCTCTGTATGCATGTGATCAAGCGCCAGACCAGGATTACAAGATACGTTTTCGAATTCAATTATTTTATCAGCCCACCATGTTATAAACTAGTTAAAGAAAATAAATGGTATTGGAAATATTATGACTAACAATTCTTAAAGATTTTACATGGATTAGTATTATTTATTCTAATTTATTTTCAGATGAGACTTAAAATAGCAGATTTAACGTTATAATATTAATTTTAGAACTTAAAGAAAGTTAAAAGTTTATATAAAAAAAATAAATTAAAAAACATGTATTATCAAATAATTCATTATTGTTTATTTCCACTTTTACAATGTTTTCTTTTTAAATAAACTGTTTCACAGTTATTATTTTAAATTACAATTATTTAGTTAACAATTTTCCAATACTTATTTATTGAAGTCATTATATAAATTTAGCCTTTAACTGTTTTTTTTTATAAAATTGAATTTAGAAGGATGGTATAAATATTGTTTATTGAAATTTCTCAGGAAATTTGGATACAAAATCCAGTAAGTTTCAAAATTGCTTCTGCTTTATAATAGTATACTTTACACTATTTTATATAAATATTTCATATTTCGAAAAAGAAAGTATTTTTTTTAATAAAATGAAACAAAACGTTCTCGAATAGTTAATAAACAACTTTTAGAAATTATTTTACAATTTTTTTTTCTTTGTATGACCTTTTCCATTATCCATGATGGTATGAAACAAATAATTTTAACAGTTTTGTGAGTTTGTGAGAAAAAGAAAGTATTTGTTTTTAATAAAATGAAACTAAACGTTCTCGAATAGTTAATAAACAACTTTTAGAAATTATTTTACATTTTTTTTTCATTATATGACCTTTTCCATTATCCATGATGGTATGAAACAAATAATTTTAACAGTTTTGTGAGTTTGAAGAACACTGTGAATACTTTAAAAATAAAAGCATCTTTTTTATTCACATGTGGAGAAAGAATAAAAACACGTACTTAAAATTTGTAGAAACGTCTGAAGGTGTTCATTATTTTTATTTGTTTTCTACATTTTTTTTATTTTATTTTGTTGAAAGACAAGTAATCCAACTTTCTTGGGTATGAATGGCCTAACTAATGGGACTCCTCGGCCGCAGAGTGTGCAACTTCTTGAGCTCGTTAGGGCCTTGAAGAAAAGAAGTAGTAGGAAGACGACGGACACTCACTTACTTACTTGTTGCATGTGAAAAATCTATATATACGTGATAGATAAAAGGCGACACTCGGACGACGCACGCATCTATCACCTGTTATCTATGGAAGGCATTTTAATTAATTAATTATAGCGTGAATAAGTGAGAGAGGCAGCTCGTGCATGCGAATAATCCCTACGACCTTCCACATCTCGATGTGCATCTCCGCAAACGTTCGTTCGCTCGCTCCGTGCGTGCAAAGGACGAAAAGGACTGCTTTCGAAGCAACGATAGCAATCATAATAATAATAATAAAGCTTGTTTTGCGCTTTATTTGCTGAATCCTCTTAGCCGGAGTGCAAAATAACCGCATTCCGTGTCCCGCGACAAAGTAACTCGGCCCATTAGCGCGATAACAATTCAATTGTGTGTGTTGAAAAACAAGACGAAAAAAAAAGAGGAAGAAGAAAAAGTAGGCAAATAAAGATGGAACAGGAATAAGGACGAAGAAGGCAAAAAGAGTGCGCTCATGTGGAAGCAGAGAAGAACTTATAACTCGGTGGTGGAGATGCAAAGGATTATTTATGTCGTGCATTAGCCTGGCTTTCAATTAGATGCAATAAAAACGTCGCACAAATCATCTGGATGCGCAATTAAACGCGGTAATCAGTGAATTAATATCTAACGTGAATCAATTTTAATGTTGCATAATCGTCGATAATTAAAAGGAGGTGATGGATCGCCAACAAAGTTCATCGTTTCGTCTCTGATTGCAACCTTCGGTGTGGTTACCGGCGGTAGTTATCTCCAACTACCGAGTTCAATTGACTTAACTTCTAATTAGTCTAATGTGCAGCATGGTATTAGACCTAATGGCAACAAGTCAGTGCATTGATACACCCCAACTTTGCTACTGCTATTACCATGATTACATGAAAATTCTATAGCTTCTACATATAAAATACAATTTCATAGAATAGTCTTCGTTTTTATTCTTCATTCCAGTGCATTTCAATTTAAATTTTTAGTATTGTAATTCTAGATTTTTTCGCGAATTAAACAAATTAGGCAACTTTTCTAAATATTTGAAAATATTTCACTAAATTTTGAACTAAAGTATTAAAACTACTATAGCAACTTGCATCTAAAAAAAGAACAGTACTTATAATGACAAATTTTCCTACTTACTTTAAGACAACCTTGGGACTATTATTTCATTAATTTATTGAAGACAATAACTGCTCACTAACTACATTCACGAGGATAAGTCAACATTACCTGCAATACCAACGTATGTGTGCAAATTACTTAAAACGGTGAAACTACAATAGTGGTCCAACTTAGGCGCCGTTTAATATTCGCCAAATCTCCCCCAATTACATATTTTCGTATTAAAAATAACATATTTGCAAAGTATTAAATGTTGACTGATGTTTGATAAATGTTCCTATTAACATTTGTTAACAATAAATTAATTATTAATAACAAAATTAATGCTCATTACTATTTTTTAGTATATATTAGTTTCAATGAATGAATAAGCGAGTTAGTTTTTTGTAACAATAGGAGGAACGATTGAGAAACCTGTACAAGAAATTATAAATTAAAGAATGATCAAGGACTTGGATAAGTTACTAATCGTGAGCTCACGTTGCCTTGGGCGTTGAGGGTCCATAGAATTCTGGCGTTACAAAATAATAAAGAACACAGTGTGATTCAATATTATAATTTATTACAACTAAATAAATAATCAACAGAAGTTACAATTTTCATATATATATATTTGTTTTTTTTTATACATAAATTTTATCCTAATCTTTATAAAGATGCATCTGACTTAGAATGTACGTGTTAATATAGATATATACAAGTGATGCGTTGCTATAGTTTCGCAAAATAAATTTAATTGAATTTCGAGGGAGAGTTAATAAATGAAAAATATAGATGCGCGAATAGCAGCTCATCACTTCATACAAGTATATATAGAAATAAGAAAATAATAATAATAAAGAAAATGGTTCGTTAATAAATAATCGTTTTAATAAATTATAATAAATAATTAAGCTACACGATCTACAGGATTTTATCTCTTTTTTTTTGTTTGTAAATGGAGTCAATGTCAGAGTGTGCGTGTCAAGTTTTTGGGTCCGTGCGTCGTTTATTCCGTCTTTGTGAAAGAGGAGGAGTGTTAGGGGAGATCCGTCTTGTACAGGTTTCTTTCATCTTTAGGTTGCGTCTGGAATGGTTTTAGTGATTAATCCAAAGAAATTATAAGCGTTTCTACTCATTGGATCTTACCTTTTTCTTTGCTCTTGTTGAGACTGGTGCTGGAGAAACCTAGTTTCCTCCAAGCTTTGCGGCTCCAGAAGCTCTTGCTCGGAGTTTCCGCCGGCTGAGGCTGCTGCACCTTCTGGGTTTGAATCCTGTTTTTTTCTGGACCACGTCGCAAACTGCCTGCTGCACTTCTGTAACTAGCACCACTAGAACTACCACTGAAACCACTGTCCAAGTCCACTAATGGTACCGGGGATAAGAGATCGTCTGTGGGGCCGACGGTGAGCAGATCTGCGAGTTGATCGTCAACCTCTGTCTCGGTATCGTCGCTGCCTTCGCGCGAACTCGAAGGCATGAGCATCGCCTCCACGGAGAGGTTGAGCTCACCGAGGACGCGACGGTGTCCATGCTGGACCCTCCTCTGTTCCTCTTCGACGAGGCTTTGGTTCAAAGAAATCATCGATTCCTGATGGATTGGGCGCATACGAGCCCGAGCGACTTCACTTATTTCCTCGTAGATGTTCTCCTCGGTCCCGTAACGAGTCAGATAAGTGTGCTTACTCCTGCGGAACAAGAATGTTAAATATAAATGCATGAGGTCTAATTGGTAGATTTTATATCGAGGATTTATTTTACTGAAGGAAGACGTGAAATGTGCGAGTGGTTCGGTAGAGAGATAAAGATATAAACGTGGTGCTGTTGATGCGTGTCATTCATTCATTTACCTAAGCGATTTAGAAGAAACTTCGAGAGGACAAGCTGGTGGAACCGATCTAAAGGTAAAAAAGAAAGTACAGTTACTAACAATTTTCTACTGCTAACAAACTACAATTATTCTTATACAATTTATTAAATATTAGATGTAAATTTATTGAAAAAATTGGTTTTCAAGATTAAATAACAACACTACAACGTTTTTAATTGCAAATATTTTCAACAAATTTTACTTTTAAATTCATTAAAAAAAGATTTTTTTAAATCTGTATTATTAATCTGTACTTTTATCGATGATTAAACTTTTCATTCAGAATTTCAGTACATGATAATAGAACGAAGCAATTTATATTCATTTAGTTTAATAAATTCGGCAAGAATTTTTTTTTCAAATTTGTCTATTTCATATTGATTTTAGGTAGAAGTTTTGTTAGTTGAAGAATTTTAATGTTTTCATGAAAAATCTACAATATGTGCAGGTGAGAGCTGATATTAAGGTTGTGCTTGAATACAAGTAATGTGTGCATGAATATACTTGTAAGAAGTTAAATGAAATTAATTGTAATATCAAAAATTATGATAACTATATGTTGGATAAGATTGGGTTACCTGTAAGAACCTTCGCGGTAAGATCTTGAAGTTCCTGGCCCTCCTAGGTATCTGTGGGGTACGTTGTGGTGTCGGGTCGGAGGACCGGGTTCGTAGTACGCGTAAGAGTAGTCAGTCGAAGGACCGGGGAGGCTGAGCATATGATCATCGGCCATCCTTTGATGGGTCTGCTGCTGAAGATGATGATGATGCTGATGGTGTTGATGATGCTGAGAGTGATGCTGATGCGCGGAATGGGGCGGAGGATGTTTAGGTGGCGGCGGGAAATGGATGCAAGGTGTTTGATGTTGCTGTTGCTGCTGCTGCAGTTGCAATTGCTGCTGAAGATGGTGGTGATGGTGATGTATCTGGGTTGTGGACGGAGGCGGCGTCCCCGTCTGATGGAGGCGACGTCGATCCACTAACTCGAACTGCTCTCCATCCTGATTGTCCTCGTCCATCGCACATTTTGACTGATGCTTGGAGCGTGGGCCGCGACGCGATCCCTGCCACATTTACCTGAAACAAAAAACGCCGTGGGATTACGTAACGCACATAATGCTTTTATTGCACTGCATCGCATCGCATCCGACGATCGATTCGACTCCTATTGGACTAATAATAAGCTGCTTACTACTTCTGAAGCCCATATTCAAATTGATTACAAAATCAATACACAGGAAAATATAACGAGCACGTAGAACGTACAATAATATAAAAAAAAACGAGAGTAACATATATATGTATGAAACTCGCCTATTGGAAATGCATATAAATGTATCTGTGCATGCATAACGAAACAAAAACCCTTTCAACTCTAATCCCCTGGTATCATACAATAAAACCAAAATTCATCTCGCATAAATCTATACGAATATAATTGAATGCACCACGAAAAGGATTACGTTTTAATTTATAGAAACCTTTGTAGTATTAACATTTACAAGATTATTATTTCAAATAACAAAACCTTTCAGTTTTTCCCATTTTCATATAATTTTCAATTATTTTTTATCCAATACTACAAAATATGTACGTTTCTGTCCTTTCGAATGATCAATTGTTTTTTTCCATTCTTTTCATTTAATCAAAATTATGCAATGCAATAAAAAATGCAGTACTTTCTTTATTTTTTAAATTATTTTTAATTTCTTCAAATAGAGTTTTTGAATTTCATAGAATAACTTGAAAACAGCTCTTCAAGATTATATAAGTTGCAAAATAGAAAATTTTGCATCTATTGCCATACTAAATTTTACATCTTATTTTTTATTAAAATCCTTGTGATAATTATATAATTATGTATATGAAAATTAAAGATAAAACAAGAGTCTTTTTAATGAGCATATTTTCACATTTACATTGTATAGAAGGGATCTGCAACCTTTTGTATCAACTTGTTTGTTACTAGTGAAATAAGTTTCTAACATAACCACAACTGTGAGAGCCACATGCGGCTCCGAGAGCCGCATTTACCTACTTCTGGTATACAATGATCACTTGCATGATTAAATTAATCATTTCATTATTTTTTTTATTTGTACAAAGTTATATTTCGTATTGTAGATTTTGGAATAACTACAAGCTATGTTACTTGAATTTGAGGTTGAGAATACGAGCAACGAGGAGTTGAATATAGTTGTAATTAATTTGAAACCTCTTGTTGGAAGTTCTCTAAAGTAATTTCCAGTTATTAGGTCATATCCGGAAGCTTTCCTTACTAAGTTACTATTATCTTGTAACTTATAAAGTACCCACATTTTATTAAGTTTAACGTAAGAGTGATGTAAAAGGTAATTTTATAGATAGAAACGTTGAATCCTGAATGCGGAACACCTACAAATAACCAAATTATACTTTAAAAAAAACTGTGGAATGAAAATAAAGCTACTTTAATGTAAGCCTTCCCCGGAGAGGAACGGCGAAGTAAGGAAGTGAATTTTAACCAGGCAAAGATTCGCAAGATCTGAAGACATTTGCATTTTAATATTGCGCAATAAAAAACGGAGATAAGCTCGAAGATGCAGCTCGGAAAAGCGAGAATAATAACAGTTACTACTATATCCGGATTTCAGGTTAATTAATGGTGGAAGTAGTCAGTAATAAATTATTCAGGTCAGCACATTTACAAATACTATCATATTTTATATGTGATGAAAATGAAATTAAGCGATACAAGACATTGAGGAGACACTATTAGATATTTTATAGAGCCACAAGTGGACGAGTTTATGATTATTGTTATTGCTATCATTATGTTGAAATAAATTATAATGTTTTGGGATGTGCATGCGTGTGGTTATGTGAATTGATGCCAGTTTAACCGGTATTAATGAGGCAACATATTTGTGGCGATGCCACTCATATTAGTCCAATTTACATACAATTATTAGCTCACAAACATCCATCTGCTTGATGAGTCCAATTTACGCTGTTGCCGGGATTTGGATAAGCCGCAAACTAATAATTGTCTTAAATAAGTTATTGCCCGTCGCGGCTTTAATTAATTTCACCCGAACTATCTTTGATGAACTTGATAAATTGATTATAGCAATAGCAACAACAATAAAAAAAAGTAGTGCTTCCATAATAGTTTCATAAGGGTACATAATACACTTTAGAAGCTAAAGTACCTATGCGGTAGGTATAAGTGGAAGAGGAAAAATGAGAAGGGAAATCCGCCCCCTTTGTTATGTCTGCGAGCACAATAAAAACATTTTTTTTTTGCTTCTACTTTCGAAAATAAATTTTGTACGCTCGCTTTGTCAGCGGAGTGTGACGAATGTTGTTTTAAGACCGGAGGACTCCCTTCAATATTTTGACCGCCAGAAAATGCGTTGTTGGGGCCGCAACTAATTTCGACTTTGCATAAAGTTCGGTTTCGTTTCAAGTTTATTTCATCCACGTTTCTTCCGTTAATACAATTCCTTCTATTATTGTGAATTGACAAAACAATAGGCCATTGATTTGGATTTTTATTCGTCGTCCCCGTTTTATTATATGAATAGACGTAGAGAAAGGACAAGGTTTCCATTTCGGTGAAACGTCATAAACATTCGGTTTTTCGATTAATTGGCATTCCTTTGTTTCCAGAACGATCATGATAAATATTAATAAAAATTTACTTCTGATATTTCGGTTAATAAAAAAAACTTGACTTGTAAAAGTAGACGTAGAGTCAACCCTTGAATAACACGATTAATTGTTTTCGTGCTTTGTAAAACCGTGTAATGAGATACTTCAGATACATGTCTTCTGATATTTCGGTTAATAAAAAAAAACCGGTTTTAAAAAACTTGTAAAACTTGAAACTTGTGAAACTAGAAGTAGATTAAACCTATAAATAACACGATTAATTGGTTTCATGCTATGCAAAACAGTGTTATTAGATACTTCAGTCTTCTGACATTTCAGTTAATAAAAAAACCGGTTTTATAAAAACTTGTAAAACTTGACTTGTTAAAGTAGAAGTAGTCAACCCTTGAATTAGATACTTCAGATTCATGTGTTCTGACATTTCGGTTAATAAAAAACCGGTTTTAGAAAAACGGTTTTTCTCTTTAAAAATAAGCTATAAAAATTCACATTATTAATATTAATCAAATATAAATTATAGTTTTGAAAATTGTATACAACAAAAAAAACGGCTTTAAAAATTGTTCTTATTGTAATGGTTTTATGTGTAGAAAATAGTTGTATATTATTTTCTTGTACTTCTTTTGATGCTTGGTACATCAGAGGCTTGTTAAGACTTTAGACGAGTGGAATACAGATTCCGAGTTTAGCGATGAAATATTTCAATTGAGCAGAAATAATCCCCGTTTGGTAGTAGGGCCAGAAGGATCATTACAGACATGAAAATATGCTAAAATCCCTTCGTTAAAATGGAATCATCCCTCTGATGGAAGTAAGGATGCGCGCGGAGATGGAAAGAGTCGCGATCATTAAAATAACAATTTTTTGTTCTCTATTTTTTGAAAGCGCAGCGAAATCAATACAGATAGATGCAGGTTCACTCACTAAGTGCACTTTAAAGCTCAGAATGGAAGTATCTAAGTTAATTATTTTTTTAGGGATGAGAGAATGGGGAAATCTTTCCGGCGCTTAGCAAATAAATATTTCTTTTATCGATGGATCGAGTCAATATGTGCTGCTCTTTCAGCTTTTTTTTCTCTCTTCTCTTCTGCCCCTCCCGCTTTTGCTGAGGAAATATCAGGAAGGGGGAAAAACGAGTAAATGGAGCGCAATTTCCACGTGACGTGCGACTTCAACCTCGCCGGAAACGGAAAAGCAAGCATAAAAGGTGCCAGATTTTACACCCCCGTCACGATATCGTCCTTATCACTTTTGGCAATGTGAAAATGAATTCGAACCATCCACGACTTACATTTTTACATCTTCCTCTTCTTCACCCATCAATACCAATTTATTGCCAGCTATTTTCTTTATTGAACACAAAACCACCGTTTCTGAACTAAGGAAATAGAAAACTATGAATTATGATTTAAATATCATATTAAATATATATTTATTATATTTCATTGGATATTTCCTCAGATCTTAGAGAAGTTTCAGGGTACTTGAATATAATTGGGACTTGTAAATTTTCTAGTAAATATTTTCTTATAACAATATATTAGTATAATCTTAATAAACCTAAAATATACATATACATCTCTTGAGCACAAGTACTTGTAAAATAAACTATATCAGGGGTGGCCAAACTGTGGCTCGCGAGCCGCATGCGGCTCTTCAAGAGTCTTGTGGTTAGTTTAGTTAAGTAAAGTAAGTAAGTTTAGGTAAGGATCTTGCTGTAAGAAGTCTGGCCACCCCTGAACTATATTATTCTGATGGGTACCTTAATGATATATCTTGTGTATACTAGCTTGTACTTAAGTAATTGTATTACTTGGTTTGGGAACGTAAAAGTAGAGTCAACCTTTGAATAACACGATTAATTGGTTTCGTGCTATCAAAAACCGTGTTACTTCAAATCCATGTATAAATGGATATTAGATTCAATTAATAATAGTCCTTAAATGTCTTAGTTTTAGCTCAACAGAATTATGAAAAGAAACAATGTAAATGAATTATTGTATTATATAAAGTTTGTATATAAAATGACCGTGTTACTCGAGACATCGTGTAACTCATGTTATTCGAAGGATGCCTAAACTTCATTGATTTGTACTTGGTTGATGAGGAATAATGACAATATAATATGAAATCCAAATGGAATCATTAATTTTTAAATACAATTTTGTCTTTTGACGATTAAAACTGTTGGAAGCAACTAATGTGAATTGAAGCTAGATGTATTTTTATCACTAGGTATATGTTGAATAATGAAAAAAAAACAGGTAAGATGGTTTCATGATTAAAGAAAGACTTGTATAAAGATTTGAATAAAACATTTTTTTCACTTTGGGCTGGAAAGGGTTAAAGAAACAGTTTTAAGGTTTTTCTTTTAATTTTTTGTTCATGTTATTCGAGATATCATGTAATTCAAGTATCGTGTA